AATCCACCACAATAAGAAAAGCTATGGGTCGTTAGCAAAGCTTAGCCGCGATCACCTTCTGTTGGTTCCATTATGTAGTCTCATGCAAATGATTATGAAAGTAGACCAAAGCGACATGATGATGAAGGTGGAAGTGAGATCAAGGTTGCAGACCGATTGACTGCAGTTTCCTCTAAAAAAAGTAGACCGGGGCACAGGGAAGACCTTTCTGCTCTTTTTTTTATTGTCTAATACCGCGCAAACTTTCGAACACAATGATATATCATTTATCAATTCTGTCAAAAACGACAATTGATATAGAACCCCTTTTTGTGATTTCATTGGACACAGAAATCCCTAAGGTGCTCAGAAGTATACTGTGTGATTTTCTCTCCTTCCCACGACTCGACAATTTATTGAGCTGTTGATTTCAATGATGTCGCTTCCCATCTACCCAGCTTCTAACGTACGTCCCGAAAGAAAAGCAGTGACCCAGTAGACATGTCCCAATCATTTCAAGGCTTAGATGGCGAAGCTCAAACCTACCGGCCTTGTATTTCTATAAAAGAGATATGAAAATCTCTAGAAGCCCATTTCCTTTGTAGGCTAAAGAGGCCATCCTAACACCTAAACATAGGATGTTGAGCCGCGTGAGCGTCTGGAGGATCGTAACGGCAGTATCACTTACGTTCTCTCTCATACCGTTGTGCATTATATTCAGTGGATGTACGTCTATTGACTCACCATCGAGCTTCTTCTTTTTGAAGGTACTGTAACTATATATATTTATACCAATCTTGGGAATTATTTCACTAAAGGGAGAACAGATCACATTATCAACCCTTCCACACACTCTCGATAACTCAATACCGCGGTCCATATCAATCCCCGGCTCCGACAATTCCCACTTGGGAGAAGAGGCAGAAGCAGAGGTGGCAAAAAATGACGAAAAGGCTGCTAGTTCTGGTGAGACTCGAATTTCGGAAGGTATCCAAGCCGGCACAGGGCAGGTATCTAGTCATCTGCCGGACTCTGTAACCAACCTGATCTCTCAGCTGGCCCCATATTACAGTGTCGGTCTAAGAAGTTATTGTGAAGGGAAAAAAGACAGTACAGATTATTTGAAATGCTCTCAACCGAGCAACATGTTCTCATTCGACATATTGAGCATATTACAGGCCAGGTCTAGAAGCTTCAAGCAGCTTCTACATATACCAAGTCGCTTCGACAAAGCACTTGCTGGATATGAAAAAGCTTCACACTTTGCCATTTCCGCTTATCTAACAAGTATCACCACTTCTATTCTAGGGGTCTTTGCTACCCTATTGTGGACAATCCTTGAACGGAGAAAGCGCGGGTCCATGGCCAAGATACGACACTGGGGAACTCTTACGAATCTTGCCATCTCTACTGTAGGTTCTCTCACCTGTGAAGCATCTAACCCATGCTAACAAGGTCAGGCTACATTGATATTCACAATTGCAGGAGCAGCGGTAACTACATTGATTTACTGCCTCATCCAAACAGCCATTGAAAGGCTAGGCGGCAAGGCTACGCTTGGTGGTTTGATCATAGCTGCCTGGTTCGCAGTCTTTCTTTCCGGCTTAGCATGTTTTGCCAGCTTCAACGCAGCAAAACTATTTTTCTGATAGCTACGGCTTCGTGCAGATAAGCGCCCCTCGGTAGGGGGAAACATTTTCAGAGGAAAAGTTTTACAGTACAGTACGAGATCATATCGCGAGGTTCGGTTTTTTAAGCGACTTCTAACCTGGCGGCTCGGGAAAGTGTCTTCAAGATACCGCTTTAGAAAGATCTGAGATAGACAACTGACGAACAACCGATTGATTTCCTCTCGAAGATTATGATGTCATTGCAGTGAATAGTCAGTCCGCAAACGATCAAATTTGCAGTCGTTTTCTCACATCACCTGACTAGAAATGTCATCAATTGCGAATGTCGGAAGCGCCATTGTCACGGGGCAATTTTTCCATCAAGTCCAAGGAGTAGCCTACTGCTGTACGACTCGTCTCAAAATAAATATTACTTCTTTTCTATAGCAAAAGTGGATTCTTGACCTGGAAATATCCCGCTGCGGCATAAGGCCTGTTCTATACGGTAGTTCATATTGATAGGTCGTTTAGTTCAATTTAAGAAAATACTCAAGTTCTGAGGTTAGCTATACGTATGAAATTCAAAACTGCAAACATCCAGAAAACAAATGAAGTATCATCAACTCGTGTTATTTCACTACCATCAAGATCTCGGCTCCTCTCAGACTAGGCAGGGCAATTTTCAAAGATGCCGCCAAGTTCGGGAAAGCTTGAGATAGAGTGGGTATAAACACAAGCTCCATCAATTTGATCGTTACTCGGAATCTCTTGCTATCTCCCTGCGTGAAACAGTAGCATCAATGCACATCTGCCATAACCTTTTCATGATCGGATCCCAAAACGCCCGTGATATTATATCACAAACTTAACCGTTTAATTCTAACATCAAAGTGAAGTATGTCGGTTCATCTCAAGTAGGTAGCCCTTTCAAGATGGCTCACAGTAGTCAGAGCGAGTCCCGAATTCGACATTTTTTGCTGGATGGTGAATAGCCTGGATAAACCCAGATCTTTTCTATTTATGCAGATCCAGGAAAACTTCTTGTAAAGATTATTTTGAACGTCTCTTCACGAATTATGTGTAAATAATATCAAATTGATTTGCTCACATTCTGACCTTAGATTTTCCCCGGCTCTTAACGCAACCCCCAATCAAGACCAACGATTGCCATGAGTACAATGACCCTTTTTCCTTGAGAAGAAAAATATAAATTCTTCTCGTCCACGATCTAATAAAACTTTCAAGGTTTGCAGTCGCTCCGTCCTGGTTGCCATGGCAGAAACCATCATACCTTCTCTGCGCGACTCTGCAGTTATCGCTATTGTTGACATCTTTGGGATAATTTACTTTTTTATCTTCATCATCCACTGCCTCATATTCGTCTTTCCGTCATCGACAGACGAAATTTTCCACTCAATTGCTACGATTTTGTTCGCGGCCAGTGTCTTCTTTTGGTGCTTCTTGAGCCTTGCCCACCGTTCGATGGTTGCCTTAAAAGATGCGAGCGCCTATTGGTGGCAGAAACTTGAGTTTGGAAGTATCTTATTCTTTGAATTTGCGACAAGTATTTCATTCGTCATACTCCAGTTCCCTGGCCGCTCTGTACTTCAGCTGGGCTATTCGTGCACCCTGGCTATGGTTTTTGTGGCGCATCTGGTCGACCTGCTAGTAGGAACGGCAGATTTCGCAACGGCTAGGAACAGGTTTCCGTATCACTGTATCGCTCTAGGTTTGATCGGAATGGTGCCTGTGATTCAAGCTTTGACAGATCCGGTTGAAGATTCTTCTCCGTTGGTGTCGGAGGTCATTCGCCTAGTGGCTTACAATCTTGTCGGGGTGGCGCAATATTTTGCGAGACCACTGGAGCGCATAGGTCTTCTCAGTGGTTGGCAGCCTAGTCTATACTTGATGCATGTTCTTTTGATGTTCAGTGCGGTGCATCTGTCGCGGCAAATTCTTAAAGCTACTCAGTAAATTTGGCACACGACGGGCAAATAGGAAGGGATATTCGGAAATGCTCAGGGACAATCAATCATCGGTACATTCTCCCGAGTCGAACTACAAATTTGCGGCGTGGAGGCGTGGAAGCGTGAAATATTGGTATTGGGTGTCATTTTCAGTGCCAGGATTATGTCTATTTGTCGGGCTAACGTTTCTTGTTTCGACTTAATCCAATTTTCATGTCACCTTGATGTTATTACAGTGGCCTCTGTTTAGCCCCTGATCCCAAAATATCATCTCAATGTACTGTACTGTAGCACACAAAAGGATAAAAGGGCCCTTTAAGGATAGAGGTAGCAGCGTAGTAGGGTTCGTTAGTTCCAACGCTATCGTGACATTGATTATTGAAATGAGAAACCATACAACCCGCAAAATGTAGCCTATAGCCATCAGTAGCTCTAGGAGCCTATTGAGCGAGTGCTTCAATGGTTCAAAAGTTAGATCATAGTAAGGCTAATTACTGTACAGGTCTTTCCTTCAAATCGTCGATTTAGCGTCTTCCATTGCGTACAAACCATCATGTCCCGTGCGGTAGCGTAATCTAGGCGGGCTTTCAGAACCCACCCTGTACGTATACTGCATACATGTGGGACAATATACATTCCGCGAGACTTAGCCAGTACTTTTCCACGTCAAAATCACCCCGCTCCCAGCTATAGTGCTTTCTCATTGCTTGTTAGGAATGTTCCTGGGCCGTGTTACTGTTGTATAATCCAGTGGCAAATTCTAGTGCGAGCAGCCTCAAAATTTCATCTAGAAAGAAGTCAAGTTGCAGTATGTACTGGAGTCTTTAGGAATCACAAAACTTAAGTGTGGATATTCACAGCTACTGTAAAGCCAAAATTGGCAGGGCCTTGTTAAGCGTGTCTATAATATGGCCTCTGGAAATTAAGCTAGCGCATTTTATTCTGACTCTCATCTATCCTACCCCCACTTCGATCATCATCTGTGTGCATTAACGGCGGCTACTCACATTATTCCTCTCTGAATTTCGGCAAAACAATAAAATACATTCTCCTTATCTGGCAACCTCGGCTCGTCATCTTTCCATCATTGGCATAGCCTGCGCGCTTGAGAAGTAGGTGGCTTCGTTTTGAGAATCATTCCACGGGAGAAACAATTATGCCAGTCTTTCGGCTATTTAAATATGAGGGATGCGAAATGCGAGGTGCTTTCCGGCCAGATTCGTCAGGATTTCAGTACATGATCCCTAGTAGAATTTTCAAAGCTGAGTAGCCCCAGTGACAGGAAGTGCGGGTCAAGAAATACTCTATAGTCATGATCTTGATGGCAATTTTCATGACAGATGCGTGAGATAGACAAATAAAAGCTCCCAAATACGACACACTTCCAATATAAAGCTCCTTCCCAAGTACGACCCCCAAGTGGACAATACTCTTCACCCTCTGGATGGCTTCTTGGCTCGACATCGTTGATGGTCCATCGGGCTGGACCTTGGTGGACACAGGCAGGCTAGAGACGTTGCTACAGTCGATGAGCCATCCCAAGACTCAATTCCCAGTCCTGATACATTTTGCTGGAAACAACAATCGAGTCAAAGCGCTTCGAGCCTTATTCCCTCGCAACAATGTGACGCGCAAAGGTCCGGCATCCTTTGCGCGGCTGCACGTCAGCACCGAGACTGCCAGTACACCGTATCCGGTCTTGTTCGCAGAGAGCCGCATGGGTGGTAGCACGGACTCTTCTAGCACAACATCGTATTGGCACCCAAATCCCAATGTTGAGCGATACCCACTTCCAGCGGACTGCTCGAAATTAAATGTGTACCGTGATGTGATGTCCCAGATCATCTTGCCATGGGCCCATATTCTTTGTCTGTTCGTAGATAGCCATACAGAATTGCAAGAGTGCTTCAAGCTTCTCCGTCAGCCTTTTCGCAGAATCCAAGTGGGTTCTCACTCTATTTCCCAGTTCATGCGAGTCATCTTCATCTTCACCTCTCCTCAAGAGTATGACTTGTTGGGTGATGTCATGTTGAGCCACCAAGATCCAGCTTATACTTATGTCAACCTACAAGATCGACGTGAACTGTCGCCAGAGGCGAGATACGAACCACTAAGAAATCTACTGCTCGACAAGCTCCAAACGATTCATGCAGAGCAAGGTGAGCATGGTTTGTCATTGTCAGCTACGCATATGTGCTTTTTGTGGAAAAAAAGCCTTCAGTCGAAACTTGAAAAGCTCGAAATAGGCCCGTTGAACTGCCTCCATATTGCACGGGAAGGGTTCCCAAAAGAGTCGAGCAAAGCCCCCTATCTGGCTGAATTTCTGAAAGTAGCTCTTGCGGGCCAGCATGATGTAAGGAAGATCTACGAGTTCATTGCTTCGGCTTTTTTGATGAATGCATATCCACCTGACATGCATCGTAAGTGACCCCCCTGAACATGTGAGGCGGGGCCTGGAAGCACACGAGCGGAGCTTTTTGACGACCTCGTGCAGGATGAACTGACGGGTTCAGGTTTTGATCCGCTTTATGTTTTCGAAGAATTATACAAAGACGATTTCACAGCTGCCCTGGAGAAGCGAGCAGACCTTGAAACAGACAGCTGTTGCGATGCAGTCAAGGCTGAATTCACCAGACTGTTCACCATGATGAACCCGGCACGGTCATCAGCGGGGATTCGACGGGAGGTCTTAAATAGGTTCTTCAACGAACGAGAAGGTCTTTATTCACTCACAGCATGCTTGTTTTGTATGAGCAAAGTTCCAGAGCACGTGCTACCCTGCCGCCACGCCATTTGCGATGATTGCATTGTGATATTTGGCTCAAAGAGCGCAGCCGCTGAGTACCACCATAACATCACGTAGTGTCCGATGTGTATCACGAGGTTCCAATTCTCCGTGCGCCTATTACCACCAACCAAAGGCCCAAATCTGCTTAGTCTCGATGGAGGTGGAATCCGGGGTATTCTGCAACTCGGCCTACTTCGGGTCCTGGAAAAGCGACTCGGCGGGGGCATTCCCATTTGGTCCATATTCGACTTGTGTACAGGCACGAGCGTGGGTGGGTGGAGTTTATCAAAGGAGATTCTATCCAACTCGATAGTCTTCCGTACTAATAATTTTCAGGTGCGCTCAACACCATTGATCTGATTCTCAACAAATACTCGGCCACAAAAACCTTTGAGCGGTTTCCAAGTCTCGCGCAAAAAGTCTTCAATCTCCCTTCAAGCCCGTTCCGGACTATGAAATGTCTGGCGTGGGTTTCGATATTGAAAGACCTTATTTTGGACGGTAGGTATGATGAGGAAGTTTTGGAGCACACGCTTAAAGATGCTATCGGGTCTGATCGCCGCATTTTTGACGACAGCACAACTCATGGTGGTGGCAGTCGGGTGGCCATCATCACCAGCCGGATATCGGATGGCAAAGCTTGTGTTCTTGCAAACTACCAAGGTACTGGTCGACATCCCGGCCACGAGTCTTCCTACGAATTTCTCAGCCCCCAAAGCTGGGAAGAGAATCCACCTTTGTGGAAAGTGTGAGTGATGTTTCTTATCGACCTTTCGGAATGTACTGATTGTGGGGCTGATGATTGGTATTTAGAGCGAGGTGTGGTGTTGCTGCCCCTTGGTAAGGCCTCGGCGCATATCGTTGCAGGAACAAGCTGATGAATATATCGCTAGGTTTTTTCAGACGAAGAATCTTCCAGGCTTCGGTCCACTACAAGATGGAGGTGTGCGGGCAAATAATCCGCTCTCCATTGCCGTAAGAGAGGCTGTCGTCATTTGGCCCACGAAGACGCGACATGATTTACTAGTTTCAGTGGGGACCGGGTATACCAGGCCTGAAGGCGGTGACGGAAACCCCTTGATCGGTGGTATCTTGAAGGATGGAGCTATTAGCCGTATGATCCGTGCCATGATGTCATCCCCAGCAATGGATGGCGAGCAAGCATATCTTGAAGCACTCAACTATGTTCCTGATCATATGAGATCCGACATTTATCGGCTGAACCTTCCGCTTTCCGGACCTCTACCACGACTGGACGATGTGGGGAAACTAACCGAGTTGGGGAGATCGTTGTTCGAGGTGCCGGATACTCTTGTTCGAGCAATCCTGGTGACTGGTTTGTTCTTTTTCGAGCTGGATGAGAATCCGAAAGCAGAAGAAGGGTCAATTCGCTGCCAGGGATCAGTTCTCTGTGCGAGCCCACAGCCCAGAAAAGCGGTGGAGAGGGTGTGCGCAGAGATACCCCATGCTGAATTTCGAATGCAGGGAAAGTGCTCACTAGGATCGATTGAAGAGTCTCATATATGCAGTATGTGCAATTATTATCGCAAGGTCATCTCGTTCACGGTCAAAAGTCTAGATGAGGTCTTCACCCTTGAAGTTGTCAATTCTTCATTTCAGCAGAAGATCGGGGGGTTCCCCACCTCTGTAAAGCGTCTTCTTCGTCAGCAGCATGCGGGAAACTACTTTGGTCGTGCGGATCATTTGAGTGGCACTTGGCCACCAGAAAGAAAATGCTTCTGTTCGCGAGGGTCCAAAAGGCGCATCGAGATTGTTGAGCCTCCCGCCGAGTACAAGAAAAGACGGCTTTGAGAAAGAGAATCATTACTGTAAAGTGAATTACAAGCACCTGGTAGATTTGTATGGTTGATTTATGGCGGTGAGCGATTTTCCCCTCTCTTAGCTATGGTTGATACTATAGTACCGTTGAATAGAACGAGGTGAAACTAAATCTGTGCCCGGCGGCATCTCCGACGCCCAGTGCTGTAGCATGATCGGAAGGAACCAATAAATCTGAGATGGAGAGATCTGGAAAATGATACATGTGACTATCTAGTATGCGTAGCTTCGCAAGAAGTGTCAAGTATAGCCCTGGCTCGAGCTAGAGTCGCTTTGACACTGTTAAAAAGCAGTGCCAACATTAAATCCAAGGACCCGAAGAGCTCCAGACGCGTGAAAGATTCCAGTAACGCCTCCAAGCGTGTTCCGCTTGGGCTTCCTTATTTCGTGAGTTCTCTAGAGCGGCGCGAAGAGATTCGATCGCTCGTAGGAGTCTGATGTCTCCAACCGGATCCATCTCCGGCTCAAAATGATATTGTAAAGTGATCTCCTGGGACAGTCCCACCACCGCCTGCGAGATCTCGAGGAAATTGCTGCGACAAAGTGCGTAGAATTCATTTTCGTGTTGCTGCTGCTCCCACTGACGAAGCTTGTCGTTTCGTAGCTGGCTGGGTGACAGCTCGCGTTCCCGTTTTGATCGCTGCAACCGCGACGGCAAGGTCTCCAGAGCTATGGTTGACCCTCGTGACATTGCAATCTGGTGGTCCAGCGGGTTGATCTCCGGGCCTTCCTGTACAAGAGCGACTTGTGTCTCCTCATTCATTGATGGTCTAAGAGATCCAAGCGACCGGCTGTACACACTAGAAGTACAGTCATTAGCCGCAGTCTGATGTGTTATTCCGGATGACATGGTGGAATTGGGGAAGGGTTTTCAGGAAGATGATGCAATAAAATAGCCTTCACATGCTCATTCATAAATGCGCAGCTCCGTAAAACCCAAGTGTAGGGGCTACGGTACCAATCATATTTCAAGCGGCACAGATGCCGTTTACGCACATTATGAATAGGGTTCCACCGCAGTGATGATAACAGTGGGGTTAATGACATATATCGCCCCTTTTATGAGTATCTGTGTCTGTTTGTGTGTTATCATCCCAATGACTTAGCGTACAGCACTTTTTCGGCTTCCTATCTGGCAAGAATTGCGCCGGAAAGCAAGTAAAGCAATTTCTCATCCACAGTCTGTCCAATTTCCTTCTTTGATCTTGCCCTCTCATTTTGCCCATTTCCCGGAACTTCGGTTTCAAATCAAGTGGAGCCTTCGTTGCTTTCCCTGACCAGCGAATCATCGTGATGCAGCATTTGAACAGATGTTGAAGTGGATTGATTTGACACCCAACACCGGATTCGCTATACCTTTGTCCTACTCGATGATCAACACATCCCCAGCACAAATTTGACTGTATAGCAATCGACCGTTTTGATGGTTTATGAGCTACATTTTGGTGTCAATATAAGCCCCAGCGTGCCCGGGATATCCTCTCAGCACCCGTGATGTAGGGTAGACGGAGCAGCCCTCATGGCATTCCAATTCAATGAACTATGGTGGGATGCCTCTCTCCCCAGCAAATACGGTCTCTGCATGGCGTCTCTGCTTGTGGCATCCTTGTTCTACCGTTGCTGTTGTATTGGTGGGATTTGGTTTTTCAAATTACGACGAACGGTTCCTTGGAGGCGGGTGTGGCATTCTCCGGTCCCGACCTCGATGCAATCACTTGATCTAGGCTCCTACGGGCAACTGCTTGTTTTAGTAATCTGTCTAGCAGCTAACGCTGTCTCTCTCTGTCTCGCAACTCCATCCTTCGCCGATACACAGCGAAGAGCCGGGTCTCTGGCCGTCATTCACCTCTTGCCTCTTTGCGCTGGCCCAACGTTTAGTGCTGTTTCTCATTTACTTCACGTCGACCGAGAGGTAGTGGCATGGCTACACCGATGGTCAGGCAGACTATGCATAATTCATTGCTTGCTTCATGGCACAATGATAATCAAGTTCCATGGCTCATCCACCCCAGTCCCGAGACCAATCGCTGGCCCAACGTTGATGGCACTTATGGTAATAATAACTCGGCTTCCTTTGACAATGAAATCCATACTGATATTACTCAGGCTGCGATCGGCTTCATCGCAGTGTTCCCGACAACACTCACCACAATCCGTCGACACCACCCCCAGCTTATGCTCAAGATCCATTATGTTCTAGTCATCGCCGGGATCACTGTTCTGATGATCCATTTACGTCACAGCCAGACCATGTACTTCTGGGTTCTGAGTGGTGGTCTTGCCATGTGGGTAACGTTATGTTTAGCTATGTGGACCCTGCAGATGATCAACCATCGCAAATGGCGAAGGACGGCAGTTTCGGCCCAAATCATAGCTTCGAATCGACTTCTTTGGCTCCAAATTGCGGTACCCAGCAGCTGGCAAATTCAAGCAGGCCAACATGTACAATTGTGGATGCCGCGTTCGGGGTACCGTTCTATCCTCCACCTGCCGCTCTTCTACGTAGCGTATTGGGAGGACTGTCGAGGCCAAAGTCGTGATGAGCCCTTCGAGGTCCGCAGATTGCATATTCTTGTCCGACATCGATCGGGCCTCACCGAGAGGCTTGTCCGCGACTCCTCAAGGTCCAGGACTGACTTCCCTATTCACGTGTTCGGTCCTTTTGGACATCCGCTAGATTTCGGACAATACGGAACGGTGTTGTTCGTAGTCGAGGATATCGGGCTCATGCGCATTTTGCCACTCCTTCAACACCTAGTACACGGCAGTCGTCGAAGGAGGAACATAGTGCGAAAATTAGAGGTGTTGTGGAATGTCGAGTGGGATAGCATCGTCGAGCTCGAGCTTCTGCACAAGTCCGACATGGCAGAGAGCGATACATGTAGGCCTGACATGAAAGCCCAAAGGCATGAAATCGAATATTGTAAGCGGTCTGACTATAAAATATGGGTTTGGCATGGCGTCCAGCAGCTGTTCGTACTAGATCGACGACGCGGCGACGGCTTGGGCGTCCAAGCCCCGGCAGGCACAGATGGCCCAAAGACACATTTGCACCACCAATTCGGTGATCTCGGGGGCTTCGAAGTAAGCTTTTACTCCCTCTTGTCTCTCTCTACCATACCGCCGTACTGACCAGGGCAGATATTGCAACTGAGAATATGTTGCCCAGACGCCCCTCCAGAAGCGCACAACCAATTTCCAGATTCCAGACGCATCCAATCCTGCTTTGGAGTATTTGACCCAAAGGAACAAGTCGAGAGATTCATCGATAGTCAATGCGGGAGAATGATTATTGGAGGTAAGTTGTAGGGCGCAGGACAACACCATCTGACATACCAATACATGTACACGAGCCGGCGAATTCTGTGACCCTTGTCGAGTCTTCTGGAATATTTTTTTGCTAAATCCTTCCAGTATGTTCGAACTCCTCCATTCGCGACGGCGTAAAGGAAGCCGCTGCGCCAAAGATCAACGACGACCTAAAATTAGTCGATCTTGACTTGGAGCCAGTAGCGAGATGGGTAAGTGATACAGGCACGAAGAACGATCCACCGCAAAGCCCTATACATGTGAAAGACTTGCCGTCTACGGATTCTCCGCCTGGTAGTGTGCCACCTGTTCGAATGGCAACCCCTCTAAGGCCATCACCCGTGCATGCGAACGATTCGACTAGTGTATCGCAAATGGACAGGTCCCAGAATCGTGTGTTGGGAAACAAGAATCAAAACCATGAAATTTTCATTAGGCAGAGGATAGCCCAAGGACGGATGTGATTGAGGTCTTGGTCTCTCGATTAGTTTCGGAGCGTGGAATGACCTAGCGCGCGGAGAAGCGAGAAGGGATGACACAGCGGAGCAAAAGGGTAGTCTCATTGGATCATGAAAGGGTGCGGACAATCGGCGAAGTCCGTAAAAATAGTTTTTGCGTCACGGGGAGCTTTAGCTTGAGCGTATTTGCCCAGGTTGGGCAAGGAAGGTGTTGGTAGGTAAGCCGATCGAATTGTGTCTGTCTTCATGAAGACCTCTCCCGCAGGATGGTAATTTCGTTCTCTGGATGTCCTAGATCCAGTCCTATGCAGACCACTTGCAGACCCCACGCATACATGTATCTGTTCAGTCTAGCCTGGGTATGGGCTAAATATTATCAAGAGTGGTATTGACATCGACCTTTGTGATTTATGGTTTTGCGCTCGCGCGAATGCGGGATGTGGCGAACTGCCGAAGGGCTAGAAATCATCACCGATCGGGTGGAGGATGCCCTTCAAGGGCTCCTTCGCCGCGGTAATTCCGTACATCTATCGTGAATGTTTGTTAGCAAATGCGTGACGCATCTCGCAATCGTCGGTCGAGGTTCCAGGGTGCTGGCTCTTCACATGCGAGCTACACGATGTTATTGATCCGTCACAGAAGACCTGCATCGATGCTTGGATTTTCTTATGCGTAGGTCTCGGGAAGCTTGTGGTTGTGAAAGGGAGATCGTGCAGTGGGTGACTAACGCGTATCCGCCAAACGTTTTGAGCAACTGTAATATATACCGTTCGCAAAGGGTGAACGGGGAGATTCCAAGACCATTGTAATCCTATAACATACTGATCCATGGGTTCTTGGCGGGTCCGGCGGGTACCCGTAACCTGCGCCGTTCGTAGATCACGTTCATAGAATAGATTTAGGTATCTTCATAGAGGACTAAAGAATTGGCGCGGATCTCATGTTCATACCCGTCCTCGATGCTTGACTGTAGTCGTGACCTGTTTCCTTGTTGAGTAGACGGATTTCACCCTGCTGGAGGTTTCTGCAGCATTGTCTACGCATATATATATTTACTACATATACCGCAGACCACTGACAGATATAAACATTTACAATTAGATGACACGTGTCCATTTTTAGAAGAGCCTAGAGCAATTGTATAACTAGGTCAATTCAAGGCTAAAGCATCCTTAGGACCAGAGTCTGAATGTCTAATCATCCACATATGCAGGTAAGTTGATCAAATTGTAACTCCGTGCTTCAACCAAACGAAAGATAGATGTGGACCGTCAACAGATGACTAATCACATTTAAGTCGCGTGTTACAACAAGCACAGCGTGATACGTAGTTGCCGAAAGCAAGGCGTCAAGGCGTCAAGAAAGCTTTAAGAGTGTTGTGATATAAGGCTGGTGCAGATCAGGAACCAAGCCGTCCCATCGGAATTAATGCCGAAATATCTATATACAGAATCAAGTTGATTTCCAATCAACTTGTTCTTCTCGTTGTATATATAGCCTCATATTTCCCTCTAGATGACAATAACAATAAATTTTCCTTTGATTAACAACAGGTTATGAGCCCGGGAGCAATCTCTCGGGTGCCGTCTCTACTCATCTGAGAAACATCTTATCTATCCATCTTGATTATATATCTACCCCGCTTTCAACTCATCAACTTATCATCATGTCGGCTCTGGTCCATGACTCCCCAGACCGAGCCGTCACGGCCATCGAGCCTCTGACAGGAAGCGACAACTTCGCTACCTGGAAACGTCTCATGACCTCCTACCTCAAAGCGAGACAGGTCTGGGACGTGGTGTCGGGCGACCTCCAGCGTCCTGACTGCCTGTTCAAGTACGCCAAACCTATTACGGCGGACATCCACCCCTTGGTGGAGCCCCACCTCAGCGGGGCGGTGAGGCAGCGCGCCATCGACGCGCGCCTCGAAGTGGAGGTCCAGGCGTTCGAGCGCCACCGTGAATGGTCGCGCCGCGAAGCCGAGGCCTACCATACTATCTTCCGTTACTTGTCCCCCCACATCAGCATTCATGTCGCGGGACTCGAAACATCTCGCGACCTCTGGAATGAACTTGAAGAACGGTATCGGCGGATGGAACTCGCCACGTTCTGCGAGCTGTTCGCCCAGTTGCGTGAGACCACAGGCGAGCGCTGTGGCAGTGCACGCGAGTTTGTCGATCGTGTACGGATGTTAGTACACCGGTTGAATGCTATCGTCCCCGGATCAATCGGCGACCGGACGCACATTGCGATTCTGTTGACTCAGATCGGACCAGAATACATCTTGATTGTAGATGCGATCCAAAATGACAAAGATCCAGTCAACCCGACCACGATCGGAAACCGTCTGGCAAATGCAGAACAGACGGTGCAGCGGAAGGACGCCGCAACGCTCCCGCATGGAGCGTCTGGCGCATCGAATAGCCCTTCAATCAATACCGTGCAGAAGAATACCAAAAAGTGTAACTACTGCAAGAAGCGCGGCCATGTGGTCGCGCAGTGCTGGAAGAAACAGCGAGAAGAACAGCCGTCCAGGGACCATGCCCTGAAGGCCGAACGGAGTGTTTCCGGCTCACCAAGAAGCAATTTGCGAAGTATACCATCAAGCCAGGTGGAAGAACGGCAGGGCCCGCCGACTTCCAAGAGACCGCGGATCAATGTTGTGAGGGCGAGGGTGACGACTCTCTATACCCACGCACCGTCACCCCGGTGGATCCTGGACTCGGCTGCCACCAGCCACATCTGCTGGGACCGGAGCTGCTTCAGCAGTCTGCGGCCCCATCGCGAGATGTTGGACACGGCGGGCGATCCAGTGGAAGCCGAAGGGATTGGGACGGTGAAGCTCACGCTCCGGGGGAAGTTCAACCAACCCCTGGTGCTCAAGAACGTATACTTCGCGCCACGCGTCGGGATGAACCTGATCAGTGTGCCGAAGTTGCTAAGAGACCGCTACTCGGTGGTAGCGCACCCGCAGAACGTCTTTGTGCAACGCCGAGGACGAACGGTGGGGACCGCCTACCATGCGGAGGAGGATCTGTTGATCCTGCGGTGCCATGTGAGCAAGAGATCTCGAGAACGAGTCCAACTGGCGAGGGCGCCGACGACCTATGGCCATGCAGATTCCCTGGAACCGCAGGCGGTGGCCATGGACGTCGACAGCCGTGAAGAGTCAAGTGGCGTAGGATGCGCATCGCCAACCTCTGAACTCGGTGGTGAAGCTGTGATACTCGAAGCAGATGCGGGCAAAGGAGTGGACCAGGCCTCCGAAGCGCTATGGCACGCTCGGATGGGACATCTGAACCGGGGCGACTTGAGGGTGGTCCTCCGGCAGACCGGCACTCCGTACCGACCGCTGACGCAGGCGCAACTGCAGGCAACGCCGCGTTGCCCGGCGTGCATGTCGGGTAAGCAGCATCAGAAGAG